ATAGGCGCTTTCCGGTATGGCTTTGAGTTCCCTCTGCGAATTCTGTTTTACGTCTTCTATGGATTCAAAACGCGTTCCTCTGAGTGGTAATTTGAGGTTGGGAAACAGGAAAAAGTCACACGGTGCAAGATCAGGTGAATACGGTGGCTGTTCGATGGTATTTATTGAATGTTTGGCCTTAAAATCGTTGATAATGTTGAACAAATTGAGGTGAATCGGAACAAGCCGGGCGTTGACACGTCGCATACACAAATTGTCCACCAAAATCAAACGAGCCATCTCACGACCGATGCCTAGCTCTCGTGCTATCTCTCTAACACTCACATGAGGATTTTTGAACACGATTTCCTTTGCCTTTTCAATGTTTTCGTCGGTGGTAGAGGTCGAAGGTCGTCCAGAACGCGGCATGTCTTCGACGGTCGTACGACAGTCCTGAAAGGCTTTGTACCACTCATAAACTTGAGTTTTCGATAAAACTGATTCCCCATAAGCCTTTTGTAGCATTCGCAACGATTCTGCACACGAAATTTCGTTCGAAAAACAAAATTTGATGCAAACTCTTTGTTCAATATTTTTTTCCATTGTTTTTTTCGCAACGCACTACTGAGGTGAACTGGTTTCAACAGCTGCCGTAAACGAACTGTCCTGAAGATAGCGCTCCAATTTGGCATGTAATTTAAGGACAGTGCTGCCAAACTACATAAACTTAAAATATCGAAAAATATACAGCGCGCGAATTTTAAATGAGAATTTCCGAAAGCTTTTCGGTCACAATGTATATGTCTTTGTAATTCTTTACATATCATCTGATTTATAGATCTCCACGGTTTAGAACAACAACAATAACCAAATGGCAAACTTCTTATACCCACCACCCACCCACTCTTCTCTTTACAAATTTTGTTTATTCAGCAATTATACACAGTTGCGTCTAATATAAATAACTCATTGATTTGTCTCTGGAAAGAAGGTGTGTTTTATTTAATGATAAGTTAGGTGTGTCCTCAATTACTGGAGCATCGATCAGCTGTCAATGCAAAACAACTTTTCAGTTCAAAATTGCTCGCTCACTACTTATGTTCACACACAACAGCATTCCTAAATATAAATTAAATATTATAATATTGACTGCCAGCAATGTGAAATGTTTGTTTTAAAATAATAATTCAATTAATTAAAACCTTTTAATAACTTTTAATGAAATCAAAAAAAAAAAAAAATAAATAAATAATTAAAATTAGTTATATGGTTGACCTTGGACACATGCGCGCAGATTTTGCCTAACCGCCGCTGACTTTCAACTTGAAAAATCTTTAAAGGCAACACAAAAAAAAAAAGAAAAAAGAAAAAAAAAATTGCTGTTATGTAGTAGTAGTAGTTGTTGTTGTTTGTTGCACACTTAATATGCATAATTCTTTGTTTACACTGTTGACAGGTGTTTTATATGAAAATAAAAAAATGTGAAGAAAAAAAAAACAAGAAAAAAATTTTACTATATTTTTTTTTATAGTAGTTTTTACTTCTAATAATTTATGGCGCTTGACTTCGCTTGAATTTACTGCATGTGCACATAAAAGCTGTTGTTGTATACTCTTTGTACATTGTTGGTTGGTTGTGACAGCGGTGGGAGGTGTACTTGCACTGCAATTGCACGCTTTCAAAATTCAATTTTAAATGAAATATATATAATTCTGTTTGTTCGTTCGTTCGTTTGTTAGATTATTGCATAAATTTTAAACTTAAAAGTGATGCGCAATCACGTACACATTTTTGCCTTTTATTGAAAAATACTAGAATTCTAGAAAATTTCAATGCAAACACAAAATAATAATAAAAAGCTAATAAAACGCCACACGTGCCGTTGTCGTTAAAATATAGGTCAAAGCTCTTATTGTCTCGTGTTGTAACAGAACAGAAGTAATGAGAGTGTTGCGCTTACATATACATATATATATGCACAACATATACTACACAACATATACTAAGTACAGACGAACAAATGTGCATAGCATATAACTGAACTATGCTGTTATATGCTGTAATATGTTGCTGTTTCCATGGTATAAATTGAAATGCGTTCTTTAAAGAAAAACGCAGTGCTGCGCTGTTAATTGACACACTTGCAAAAGGGTTCCGTCCGTCCTTTATGCTTAACATTTTTATGGTTTTTTTTATAACCATTTTATGCTGTACTGCAGTGTCACTTTAAGAAATTACTTTATTCTTGATAAATATAATATAAAGAGGTTTTAATTTTAAACAGTAGTGTACTACAACAACAAAAATTCATTTCATATATGATTTTAATTAATTGAATTTTGAATTTAATTTAATTTAATCGAATTTAAATATTATATATGTATATGCTTTTCTTTATAAATAAATAAGTTTATACTTTTAATGACAAAATTTTATTTATATATTTTAGTACGGTCTAAATAAATAAATAACTAAATGAATTATCATTTAGTTATATATTTTTAAATGAGCAAATTAATTAATTGTCTACATAATAAACAACTTCTTTTAAATAATTTTTAAAGAATATATTTTTTTTCACTAATATAAGACAAAGATCTATAGTATCATGAATATGACTATAGATTATCGAAATCTATATCTCGAAATATTGTTGACAATGAAATATATTTCTTAAAAATAATTTAAAATTTTTGTTTATTATTTTAACAATCGACAAATTATAATAATATATATAATATATATATATATTATAATATAATTTTAAAAAATATATTTCTAAATAAATAAATAATAACAATAAATAAATAAATTTAAAAAAAATAAATTTATTTAGTAAATAAATTATTATTTAAATAATAATTATTATTACATAAAAATTTAATATACAATTTAAAAATAAATAAATATATAAATAAATAAATAAATTATTATTTTAATAATTATTATGACATATAATTTAAATATATAACTTAAAAAATATATTTTTAATAAATAAATAATAATAATAAAAAAAAAATAATTTATTTAGTAAATAAAATATTATTTAAATAATAATTATTATTACATAAAAAATAATATACAATTTAAAAATAAATAAATAAATTATTATTTAAATAATTATTATTACATATAAATTAAATATATAATTTTAAAAAAATTTATTTCTAAATAAATAAATAATAATCATAATAAATGATAATTTATTTAGTAATTAAATAAATAAATAAATAAATTATTATTTAAATAATAATTATTATTAGATATAAATTAAATATGCAATTCAAAAAAACATATATATTTCTAATTTACATTTATTTTATTTTATTTATTTTATAATTATTCTTATACTATACCCTGTTTTATACTTATCATTTATTTTCTATTTTTTTCTCTTTCTTACAGCCAAATCGCACTTACTACTTAGAAGACCCTGAAGGTTTTTGTTTGAAATGGTGTGAAGCCATTGAAACAATGCACTCGCTAGTCTTTAAAAATATTGCAACACCCGCGCAAACTAACTCCTCTGCTATGTCAACGACATCGAACACGACGAGAAGCGGTTCGACATCTCTAAAAGCAAGCTCTTCAAACTGAAAATGCTGTTATTTGTGAAATTTTTAATATAAAACAAATAATTAGCAAACAAATGAATACAACATACACACACACACATACATACACGTACAAAAGCAGGCGTCATATAGTTTGAGCATAAAATAGAAAATCATTGCTGCAAACAAAAGTCGAAAGAGAGACATATAAAAATTTTAATGTCTTCAAACAGAGACGACGCTCTGCTTTAGACTGTGGCTCAAACAATATTGGCAGCACAAAAATGTTAAAAGAGACAAAGTTGATCAAAGGAACTCTGCTATGCGTCATGTTAAATATAATAAACAACAACAAACTGGATAACAACAACAAGATGAAAACTGAAAAAGATGAGTTAAGCTCAAAAATAAACAAATATGGCTGCTGCTGTTAGTGTAAAAACAATAACTCATTAAAAAATTAGCAAACAATTTATTTAAAAAAAATTTAGTTTAAAACAAATTTTTAGTTAAAAAATGTCAAGTAAAATTAAATTTAAAGTATATATATTTAATATTAAAAAATTACTAGAAAATATTATATTTAATTTATAAAATCAAATCAAATAAAATAATTTAATACAATTAATAAAGCAAATTAAGTAATTAAGTAAATAAAATAAAGATTTAGCAAAAATAATGATGAAACACAACTCAACCTAAGATTAATATTATTGTAATAAATTAATTATATTAATTTAATTTCAATTAAATATATAAATATAAGTAAGTCAAAATTATAGTTTATAGTATAAAACACATATACATATTTAAATATATATATTTAATTGTAAAACAAAAACAAAGTATGGAACAATAACGCTGGTTTGTAAATAATTAGTTCGGTTTTAGGTTAAGTAATAAAAAAAAGTAAATATTTATTTTTAATTAAGCATTAAATACAATTAAATAAATTATTTAACTTAACAGCTATTAGATTAAATAACGAAAAACTAAGCTAACTGCTAGTTTATAGTAAAACAATGTTTGTCATAATGTATAGTAACAAAACAAAAACAAAAAAAAAACAAAACAAAACAAAAAATACGTATGAAAAATTAATAAGAAAATTATTGTAAATTAATAAATGTGGAATATATCCAAAGTCCTCAGATAAACACATATGTAAGCAATATTGCAATATACACACATACTTGCATAAAAACGAGAACCTAAACAAACGCAAAATATATAACTAAAAAAAGTAATGGTAGTGCTAAGCTATAGCTCGGTGTGTTAGAAAGCCCTTTTGCAAACACAGAGTTGCTATAGCTTTTAAAAAGCAGTAAGCAAAAAAGCGTCAATAATAAGTTTAAACTTATTAACAAATATTAATTAATTGCTTCTAAGAATATTTTTAAAAATATATTTTTTTTTGTACATTTTGGAAGTTCTAAAACTTTATTTAAAAAACTAAAATTAACTTTTAAAAAATTCTTATTCAGTTTTTGCTGCTGCAATAGTGTTGCCATATTAATAAAAATTATATTTGCCGATAAATAACTGTAACGCCTTTGTTATGTGTTTGTATTTGTTGTATTTATATGTGTTTATTAAACTATAAATGTTAAAATTAATAATTAAGCTTCGTGTAATTATAAATTAAATTGCAAAATGAGAGAAAATCTAGTAAAATTAATTTAAAAAAACTTTGCATAAAAAATGTAATTAAATTAGGAAATAGGCGTCACTCGATGAACGTCACAAGCGTTGAAATTAACTTAATGGTCTACTAAAACGTTTTAGATTCGCACAGATCGTTTAAATTTTTTTTGTTCCGCTTTTATTATTAATGCTTTTAAAAACGGTACAGAAAAAACTTGTTTCTAACGCTACTACTCAACGCTTAACTGGCGTCATTTTAGTGACGTATATAAGCTTGACTTTTTCTTCTAGTGTTTCAATTTAATTTAACAAAGCTTATTATTTTTGCCCTATAACGAAACGTATAAGACTTAAAATCTTTTCTTTTTCTTTGCTATATGGAAACAAGGAAGGAAACATTTATAATAAATTATAAAAATAAATTGCAAATTAAAAAATGAGATCGAACATAAACAAAAAAACAAACAACATTAAAAATGAAATTAATTAATGAACTAATAAAATGCAAATAAATAGAATTTTAAAATTGAAAACTAGCAAAAAATGTAGCAAATAGAAGAAAAAACTAGAAAATTTATAGACAAAGTGTCAACACTACTGTTTTGCATATTTGCATTAAAAACAAACATATTAAAATAAAATTTTTCAATTTATTTAAAATTTAATTATGAAGGAAATTATATGTTAAAGCTAAAGCTTTTTACATATACAAAATTGTTAATATATTAATTAAAAGTTCTATTTTATGTTTTATATTTTGTTCCATTTTTTTTGGCAAATTGTTTAATTTTGTATTTTGCAATTAATTATTTTTTGTCGTTATGTATTATATTAGGAAAAAAAAAATAATTTGTTGTCAAACACTATTGTAAGCTAAAAATTATAAATATTTTTATTTAATTTTGCGTTTTCTAATAATTTTTTCTTTAATATTAATATTTTCGCTAATGTTTATAAGCATATAATTAGTCTTAAACTAAAACAGGTACGAAATTAAATTTTGACTAAAATTAAATTTAAAAAAATTTTTAAATTTATATTAAAACAAATTTGTATTATATAAAATTAATAATAAAAACAAACAAAATAATTCTTAATTAAATAATTTTTAGCATAAATTTTTTTCAAAATTTGTCTTAAAATTAATTGCAAAAATTTTGTTTTTAATTGCTGTGGAAAATTACATTTTGTTTATTTGTTTATTAAGTTACTAAATTTAAAAAAAAATAATTACTTTTCTTTATAGTTATTATACTTATTACATTTGTTGTGGTTTTTAAGTTTAAGCCCTTTATAAGTTTAATTAAATATTACACTATAAAACAAATTATATATAAATTTATCTCATTTCTTATTTATTTATTTTTGCATTAAAAAAGCGACATTTTTTTGTGTTTCAAGCAATTTATTATAGTTAAATTCTTAGTTTTTTTAATAAGAAAAATAAAAGAGAAAAGGATTTACTTATTATAAAAATTATTTATTATTTATATTAACTTAAACAAAAAAGTAAAAGTTTCATGTATAGATTTTTGTGTAGAATATACCAATATAAATTTAAGCACATTTGTTTTAGATTTTAAGTATAAATTATTTATAAAAAAAGAAAGAGAAATTAATTAAATAATTTTTAGTTTAAATTAAAAGAAAAAAAATTAAACTTTTCAAATAAAAATAAAATGTAAACAATGTTTAAAATATAACAAAAAATTTTATCTTTTTATTTATTTATTTATTCGGTTCTTTTGATATATCTAGGTTTTTTATTTCAACAGAGTCTACTTAAAGTAAAGGAGGAAACCAAACGATTATAATTTTTATAGAAGTTATAATAATATTGTATTTATTATTATTATTATAATAATATAATATTATTATATATAAATATTAAATTATAATAATAATATTATTATAAAAATTATTATATTATTATAATTATATAATAATAATATAATTATTATTATCATAATATTATAATTACTATTATTATAATTTGAATAGTGTCGTTGAAAATATTTTATTTTCTGAATATTTTTCTTAGCATTTGATTCTATTTAAATAAAATTTATTTTGAAACTATTTTTATAGAATATATTCAATATTTGAAAAAATCCTTTTATGATTCGTTTATTTTTTTATTTGGTTACCAATTGTTTTAAAAACATTTAATGATTTTATGAGCTTTTTTTTCGCTCATAAATAATCTGAATTAAATAAATAATGTTATTATTTATTAATAAATAACTTATCAAATTTTTAAAAATATTTAGTTTACTAATAACCACAGCATTTTTTTTTAATTAGTCAAATTCTTCGCTTATTGTCATTATCTCTTTTCATATTATCGATTTTCCTTTTAGCGCTAAAATTTAACATAATATATTATATATAAAATAGTTTAGTTAAATTAATTAAAGTAAAATTTAAAACAATACTGAATGTGTTCGTCGATTTAAGTAAATGAATTCAAATTGAGCAAGCTCAATTCAAAAAATTTATATATGTAATACTTAATTAAAATTTTAATTAAAAATTAAAGTGTTGAAAATTGCTTCGAAAATAGTTAAAAAATAATTTTTATAACTTTGGGTACAAACAAGACAAGTTATTAAGATCATTAATATATGTACATATATGTATAGATTTTTTTTTAAATAATATATGTTGAATAAGCAACATTTACAACCATATATATAAAATATATGAAGCGTATAACTAAATGAAGGATAAAAAGTACGGTTCTCATACGATAATAAGGACTGTGAATTTAGTTGCTCAATTGAGGTTTATTAAAAAAAATCTACTCAATAAAGATCGGAATGTTTTTTTCATAATGTAGATGGTTTACAAATTTACAGGGTAAAATTAATTAAATAGTTGTATATTGATATTATGTACTTTAATAAAATGTACTGAAATTTCTCTTTTTAAGACAAAATATTTGAAGGTCCAATTACCTGCAGTTGTGATGATCAACATAATATGATAAAAAAATAGTTATTTGAAGAATATTCGTAAAGGACTCCATTGCAGTATATATATTGTGTGAATATAGCACTAGCTAACAATGTTTTCGATTGAGTTTATAGCTAAAACCATAGTTGTATATCTTTATCTCATATATCTAAGGCAACATAACACACCTCATCATTTGTTATTATAATCACAAAAACCCAATTAATTCAATCAATGGATTAATTTTAAGCAACTTAGGCTTTGGAACACTTCTGAAAAATGTTACTTAAAAGATTAACCTTATCATATCTAATATAAAAAAACAAATGTTATGTGAAGCCTATTTAGGTAACCATAAAACCTTATTATTGAGCCTTAAAAAATGTCTATATATGTATGCTCTCCGCTATACAAAAATCAGACTATTTTTGACTCAGAGTTATA